AGAGGTAGTAAATCAATATCAAAATCAAAGCCAGCAACTAGTGACATACCAATCGTGGATGTGGATGAAGTGGCTGGTATCCTGAAGAGTCCCAAATCGAGAGAATCAAATGAGCCAGAGACTGGAACTATCGATAAGAGCCAGTCGAGAACTCAAAACGGCAGAAAATCCAGTGAACTTGAAAAGACTTCACAAGGAAGCATCATCTCACTCATCGAGCAGGATGCTCTCAACTCATCACAAATTCGAGTCAGTGCACCTTTCAAAGAACGAACTCACACTGTCACTTTCAAGCAAAAGCGAAGTGGTCGTAGCCCTACCAAACCATCTTTGTAAGTCTTTATCATATATTTATGATGTCTACCACATCTGATTCGATGTTGTTTTCTAGAGCGAAAAGACTTGCTTCCGATTTCAATGATGAGGTAAAATTCGTTCTGTATGATGGATTTTGCAGTAATTGAACGCTCCTATTATAGCCTATCCCCAATGACGCCGTGATAGATCTCGATGGCCTTAGCTCCTCATCGTTTTATGGTTCTCAAAAGCCTGTGTCAAAGTAGGGAATTTTGACCCAAATTATTTTTCTTTCATTAGTCCCAGTCTTCGCTTTTTCAGTAGAAAACAAGTGGCAAAATGCGAGATTATCAGTCCTCGTCCACAATTACTGGCTGATTCGGTTTGCTTCCTTTTTCCTAATTCTTTATTCATTCTGATACTGATTAGCGTTTATTATTGTGATTATCTAGCACATTGTAGATATCTTCATCTCGCTGCTTAATGAGTCCGCCATCTGGGTCAAAAGGATTTCCGTCATCTTCCATGCATATCAGCAGGTAGATTCTCACCCCTGTCTGTCTTTTTGCAAAGAATTTCAAAATTCAAATTGTCAAAAAAATCTGAACACATGCAAGTCTTTGGCCCCGCGAACATACGTCCTTTTCAGGGAAGCAGTAACACCCAGCCGCAAACGAAAAGAAGTGGATGATACGGTATCTAGAGATTTTTCTAATGATAACGATTTGTTCAACAATCTGTCTCCACCGCCAGCAGATCACCAACCTTCACCTTACTCTTATCGAGGGTACGACTGCTTTGTAATTTCATAATCTTTTCACTCTCACCTGTATCGCAATCAATTGCAGGCTGGAGAACCTTACAAATTCTTGCTACATGAACGCTACTTTGCAAGCGCTTGCATCTGTATATCCGTTTTACTACCGCATGCAAATGATCCAACAACGTCGTGAGGATGGCGGCCAATGTTCTGAGTTTGTTAGGTCAGCGTATCTGCTTGCTAGGTTCATTCTCCAGCAAAAAGAAATCTTTGCAGAAGATTCAACGACGTGCTGCATAATCTTGTATCCCCAGACCGAGAGCCAGATATGAAGTATGGCTGCGCTACGAAAATCTCGGTAAGTTCGATGAGCTTGCATAGTATTCGA